AAACTCATAATATAAATGATCATTACACAGATAAATACCGCAAAAGCTAAATATCTGAAAGATAACGATTAAAAAATCATATGTTTAGTCAATGGCCGTATTTAAGTCAATTTATTTAACCGGTCAACTGGGAAAATTCTTACGTAATCTTAAAACTATTCATTACGCAAACCAATTGATAATGGTTAAGAATGAGGTAATCTACGAGAAGGGTCAGTTTGCTGCTTTAGCAGTGTCAGAGTTTTAAGTGTTTTGATACTTTTTTTAACTAAAAGGAAGGAAAGCAAGTGATAAGAGCAGAAACGACCCTATGAGTATTACTAGCTTCTAAGAGAACAAGAAGTCTCGCAATGATGTAAATGGCGTTGCTGCATGCATGATGTATACTCATCCACTGATATAACAGTGAAGAACGACATGATTTCAATATCAGAATATATATATATATATATACGTAGAATGTAGTACATTGGACTTACTTTCAGTATTTGCAATTATTCCATATTATCATTAGTTTAAAAATAAGAAGATGCGGTATAATCACCAACGAGGAAACTCTCATCCAGAAACCAAATGACTTAGAGGTAAGCAACTATAGGTCACCTTACGGTCTTCAACAATGAGCATAGCATATACCACGCAGCAAGCTTTTAAAAGCCACGAAATAACAAATGCAAAACAATTCAAACGAGAAAATCATCGGCCTGAAACATGTACAAAATAATAAGCGAAATACAAATAAAATATACAGTAACAAACGACAACAACTGAATTAAAGGACAGGAACAGGCACATACAGAATGTGGTTGGGTTAAACATGTTTGTGGGTGACCAGCTCTCTCTTTTACCTGGGGCAGTGGTGTAACAGCACAATATAAGAACAAGCTATAAAATTCAGTTGAAAAGTGCTCAACTCATTAGATCGATACGAAGAACAAACTAAACTAACAAAAGACACTACATGTAAGTACAGATCTAATAATACATGCACTTACTGAAAGCTAGTTTAAAGCCAATAACAACTAATATAAAATAATGTACATTTGTGTAATTAAGACTAAAATTTGCAGTTTTTCGATATGATTTGAAGAAATTTTGAAAACTGATATTCAACGCGCTAGTTTAAAACGTCATACTTTTAAATTGTCTAATTATGGTAAAATGTTTGATGTAAAAGTGGTTTTGGTAAATAGTCGTTATTAAATGCAATTGTATCTTCTTTGATACAGATATATATATATATATATATATATATATATATATATATATATATATATATATATATGATGCAGCATTATTTAATATAATTGTTTAAATTATTGTCACTTATACCGGATACTATAGAGTTAAGAGATTTTGATCTGCAATTTTTTTAATTAATGATTCTTTTGATATTTTACAAGTGGCATTCAAAGAAGAGGATTGAGGGTACAAACATAATTACTCTAAAGCCACTATCCTGTCCCAGTAATCAGTGAATGTCAAGTTTAATGTTAATGTTTATATTCTTACAGTGAACAATTGATGTTGATATTTGATATTTGTTAGTCTATGTTAAATTTAATTACTACCCTTCACTCGCTCCGACATTGAGCTTAACATAAGATGAAGACCCATGGCTATCGTTAAAGACCATTGACCATTTATTTAAGAGGTATTTTGGACTTTTGTTTCATTTGGTTACTTAACCAGCATATTTTAATTTATATTTTTGGTTGATTTAAAGTAAAGACAATTTGAATGATGATAGCTGTGATGAGTAGAGCAAAGTATACATTATTCATTTGATCTGACACAAGCGAAATAACTCTACTATTCATAAAAGAGTAATATTGCGCAAAAGCGAAAACTATTTTAAAAACAATACTCAAAAGTTGTATATTAAAATATTGAAAAGATTAAACAGATAAAATGATACCGACATGTACATGTAACATTTAGAAAAAAACCCAACATTTTATTAACATTTAACTCTTTTAAAATAGGTATAGAAAACACCAGACAACATTTCATATTCATCAATAAGCCTCGTTATAAACACTTTAGCAATCCTTCAAAGTTAACACAAAATTCTGAATGTTGACAATTTCATAACCTATGGAAAACAAATATACAAAAATACATTCAAACCACCATTCTTAAAGAGTATGAAATAAAACCCATAGTCAAATCCGTGTAAATTTTGATATCAGGCAAGCGTGATGTCCAGTCCTTGCCAAAGTCAAATGGAATCGAAAGATTTCAATATATAAATTGATGTACTGAAGGTCATTGAAACTAACACTTAAAAATGTTTAACCATAAAGATTTCATAGAAACGTTTAACAAAACATTTTTAGCGAAAAAGTGGAATATTTTCAACATTTTATATCATCAATATGATAAATCGCTTGTAAAGGTTCACATGGTAAAGGTAAGTGAGCTGCCATACATGCCCTATCCTCCGTAAACTTTGAACGTTAATTCTGTCCTATATGAACATCGACCCAATATTCGAGCTTGAAACTTTGTAGCAAGCTTTAAATGAGTACTGTAGACAGATCAGTGTTATATCTGTATAACAAGAACAATACCGGGTCTGGACCTGCGTCACCTCATGCAATTGACTGAGGTAACATGTATACCGGAGCATAACTTATTATTCCCAGACCAAATGTTTCACTTCAATTGGAACCATGAAAAGTTTGATGAAAATTTTCCTTGTACAGTGAGTGTTGTAAAATCTCAAGCTATCCGCAAACAGGAAGTGGCTACCCGGCAGATGTAAAAAATGCTTACTCACTACATCTCAATATTATCAAGCTGCAGACCAAAGGCTTAATCATTCCCTTTCCTAGAAGCCAAGAAAACTTTGACGAAAGTTTTCTTGTACAATGAGTGTTGTAAAATTTCAAACTATCGGTATACAGGAAGTGGCTACAGGACAGATGTAAAAATTGCTTACTCGCTAAACTCAACATTATCAAGCTGCATACCATATATTAAATCATTCCCTTTCATAGAAGCCGTGAAAACTTTGACGAAGACAAAAGTTACTTTTGGACGGACGGAAAGTCGAACTGACAGACAGACGAAGTCGAGCGGTAACTAGACCTGCTGCTTTCGACTTCGGCGACGCAGGTTAAAATAAGGAAATGAGGTTTGATTGTTAATAAGACAACCATCACACGGAGACTAAATGACGAGGATGTAAACAACTAAAGGTCACCGTACGGCCTACACAAAAGAGAAAAACACATACCGTACGGCCTACACAAAAGAGAAAAACACATACCGTACGGCCTACACAAAAGAGAAAAACACAAACCGTACGGCCTACACAAAAGAGAAAAACACATACCGTACGGCCTACACAAAAGAGAAAAACACATACCGTACGGCCTACACAAAAGAGAAAAACCCATACCGTACGGCCTACTACCGTACGGCCTACACAAAAGAGAAAAACACATACCGTACGGCCTACACAGAAGAGAAAAACACATACCGTACGGCCTACACAAAAGAGAAAAACACATACCGTACGGCCTACACAAGAGAGAAAAACCCATACCGTACGGCCTACACAAAAGAGAAAAACCCATACCGCATGGCCTACACAAAAGAGAAAAACCCATACCGTACAGCCTACACAAAAGAAAAAAACACATACCGTACGGCCTACACAAAAGAGAAAAACACATACCGTACGGCCTACACAAGAGAGAAAAAAACATACCGTACGGCCTACACAAAAGAGAAAAACACATACCGTACGGCCTACACAAAAGAGAAAACCCATACCGTACGGCCTACACAAAAGAGAATGCCACACATACCATACGGCCTACACAAAAGAGAACAACACATACCGTACGGCCTACACAGAAGAGAAAAACACATACCGTACGGCCTACACAAGAGAGAAAAACACATACCGTACGGCCTACACAAAAGAGAATAACCCATACCGTACGGCCTACACAAAAGAGAAAAACCCATACCGTACGGCCTACACAAAAGAGAAAAACACATACCGCACGGCCTACACGAGAGAAAAACCCATACCGTACGGCCTACACAAAAGAGAAAAACCCATACCGTACGGCCTACACGAGAGAAAAACCCATACCGTACGGCCTACACAAAAGAAAAAACACATACCGTACGGCCTACACAAAAGAGAAAAACCGTATCAGAAACTATAGGTTTCCCCACATGAAAATAGAAAAGAAAATTAAGGCGACATTAGTTTACCTATGTTTAAATCTCGTATATTGATTAGGAATAATAGACAAATCAAGGTGACAAACAAACACTGAGTGAATCGTATGAACTCCAAATGGAGCAATCGAGACCGAGTGTGTCGACAGGGTGAGCGTATCCTGCTTTGCATGTAAAACAATTCAAACGAGAAAACCAATGACCTGATTTATGATAAAAAAATAAACGAAAATCAAATCAAACAGCAACCAACGACAAAGCACTGAGTGTCAGGTTCCTAACTAGGGTCAAGCACACACAGAATGTGACGGGGTGAAAAAAACATGTTTACGAGCGTTCTAGCCTCATCTTACTTAGGACCGTGGTACAACAGCACAACATTGAGAACAAACTGTAAAAATCGGTTGAAAAGGATCAAATCAGCACGAATCATTGTTTTTTTTTTTTTTCTTTTTTTCTGCATTCACAATAAGATCTTGGTGTAAATTAGATACACCCATTCGGGCTAACGCTCGCAAGGTGTATCTAATACTGTACATATGAATGAGTGTTTCTTTCTATAATTTTATAGGGTTGTAAAAAGTGTTGCACGTGTGCACATTTTTAACATGAAGGGAGCTTTCACACCCCAATAAAATTACAAAAAAACATTCAATTCTTGATAAATAAGCACGAAATCGATTTGTAACTTGCTATAGAAAGTTGGAACATTTGCTTCGGTTAAATTCCAACAATTGAAAAGGAATAAGCAAGTTAAGAACTCTAAATCTCTTTATTCTAAATTTCTGTATTAAACTCAAAGTGTTATTGAAAGTCGGTATTCAGTAAACAAATTACATAAACACTTGTTCTAGTGAGCTTTTCAAATCGAATATATAACAAAATATACACAGATATATACAAAAGTCATGCAAACAACACAATTTTAAACGTATAATATATGGTAAGATAACAAATACAAGCATGTCAAATAAAATCTCTGTATAACATGGGATACATGACTGAATATGACATACAAAGGACCTTAAAGATGGAGTAATACAGTTTAGACATATTTGTTAGTGTACGTCACTATCCAGATTAAAACAAAAATGTTTCACGTGTATTCATGCAAAAGTTTTCGAGATATTTGAACTTGAAGGGAGCTTGCAGAAATTTAATATTAAGTTAATAACCTAACGACCACTCAAATATACGTTTCCTCATAAAATATTTTTTGTAATGATAATCTTTATTGAAAAAAGTAACACCCTGACGGGTTAAATTACAAACATTACTTGTACACAAGAAACATACAGCACATGAAAAATGTTCTAAACAAGTCAAGTTAATGTTAAAAATATATATATTATGCACACTCGGAATTGAATTTTTTAACCTTTTCTTGAAATAACCAAAATATGACATTTTTATAAAACTTTTGCATTTTTGTCCAAAAAAGACAAAATCTAGAACAAGTACCCTGTATATAAGTTGCTGTTCCTCTGAAAAAGTTAGTTTTGCATTAATTACATAAAAAGTAAATAACACTTTATAAATATGGTGCGTCCGAAACACTTTCTGGATTTGCCTTTATCTTGAACGCTCAAATTATGATGCTAACTACATAAGCTCAGATCCAACAGGGATAAAGACCGCGTATCAAACCTTAAGATTTACAAACGATGATTTTAAAAATTATGATGAATGTATAGCCAACCCCTTATAATAATAATCACTATCCCTGTAATACAAATTCAGTCAATCTCTAAGATCTAAGAAATATATCAAAATAGGGAGATATGGTATGATTGTCAATGAGAAACTATCTACATGAGACCAAAGGGTGTGTATAGGCAACTTTAAGTAACTGTACGGCCATCAACAATGAGCAAAACACATACCGTAAAGTAAGCTATAAAAGACCTCGGAATGAAAAATTGTGAAACACAAACGAGTAAACCAACACCCTGATTTACGAAAAAAACAAAAACAAATATGGAAGATAGTAACCAACAACAACTACTGAATCACTGGGCTTAGGATAGACACAAAATGTGACATTGTTTTATGTTTGTGAACATTCATCCTCCTTCGGACTTAGGATAATGGTGTTGCAGTACACCATAAAAACAAACTGTAAAAATCAGTTGGAGAGGGCTTGACTCATCAGATCGGCACACAGCTAAAAAGAAAAAAACTTACACAAAGTCAAAAGGCGAAAGACATTAAGTCCGATATAAGAGTACTCACAGTTACTGAAGGTTAGACCAAATTTAAAGTCAATTACAAACGCCATAAACAGTTTTGCAATGCCAAAAATTAAATATCGTCATATAAATATACTTTTGAATTATATAAGGATTTCTGACGCAGTTTGGATGATTGATTGCTATTTGCTTAACGTCTGGCGGAAAATATTTCATGCATGTTCAGGAATAGTTAACAATAAATACAATGGGTACGTACTGTTATAAGGGTCGACCACGATGAAGGGCAGGAAATCTGGACTGCCACTGGAAAATGAGGGTATATTGGATGGGGACAATAATGTAGACTTGCAACAAGCCGTCTACATGGTAAAAATCGTACTTAGAAAATAAACACTTGTATTACATGATTAGTTCTAAACGTGTTTAGGATTATGTCTAATATCTAAAAACATTTCTTAGTAAGCACATTAAATGTAAACATGTCTTGAATATAAACACTTTTAAATGTGTTTTAGAATTAAAGTGTTTAGGATTTAAAAACTAATTTCTAAGCTAAACAAGAGCCTAAACACAATCCTAAACACTTTCTACAATCTAAAAAAAGGAATACAAAATATGTTTAGAATTGTGTTTAGGATGTAAACACCATTTTTACAGTGTATGAATCCCTCAAAGTGTTGGTAAAAGGGTTCATAACGTGCAGAGCGCATGGTACTCTCTGTACACGAGGTGTTGGATACAACGTCCCCATTCAGAACGGACGTGGCTGTGTATTTATACATCCCGCACAACTTACAAACGGACGTCCCATTTGTAAAACGTGCTACTGCCGGCCGAAAGAAGATCAAAACTGGACATAATTCTATTCCCCAGTCACCCTTTGGTTTAAATGAGTTTACATGAACTTGCTGCATATGAAAAATGTAGAATTTGCATTATCTTCTTTAAAAGAGAGATGTTTAGGAGTGAAAACATTCATAACTTATCAGTCTTACTTGTAATAGGGTTTTAGTTTTTGTTGAGAATGATCGAAAGAGAATTGACAGAGGATTAACACACTCATTCGTGTTAAAGGATCTTAATTTGAACCCGATAATTGACGGATTACATAATATGGGCGTCTTATAATCATCACAAGTATGGGGTTCGGCATTTACAGAGTCAAGATGTTATATAAATGATGCACTATTTTGTGGGGCGGACTTTCACTTCGTTCCTTTATATTCGCATGTGATAGAAGTTGTCGACTGTTTGTCTGATTTTATGTTTCCTTACTTTATTATTGATTTTTGGAGTAAAAACACGGTGAACAAGATTTGGTAGGATCGTAATTAACAATATACTTATCACATGAAATATTTCATGTTTTTCGTCTGTTTCTTGAACATCAACGAATCTAGAAACATATATTATGGAAGCAAAAACTAAAAATGTCATAATACAAATCTGAATTACTGTCATAAAAATGGCGATGTGAAGAGGGCGATGTTTTCGTACAACATACTCATATAAATCTCTCTGAATACCAGGAAGCTTGTTTTTCTCCCTTAACTGGTCCTGCTCATAAGAATTATGTTCTCCTATCACAACCATCTCTTGTTTAATTACAACTGTTGACTCAGATAAGTCAGTGACCTGGGTCTCCTTCCTTTCGGACTTTTCAGCCTTCATATGTTTCACTGCTTTGATAGTTTGATGCAGCAGTTCAAAGTAATCCTTTTCAATTTCTATGATTATATGATAGATGAAAAATAATAACATAATGATTGAGTAAACAAAACTAAACGAAAAATTTGGAAATATAACAATTGACAAGTAAACAAAAAATATAATTTTGGCCAAAAAGTTAAAAGATTCTGATATAACAATACATGACATGAACAAATAATACACCAAACATAAAGGAGAAAATATCATAAAGAAAACTTTTAACACTTGATGTCTATCTAGAAACTGTCTGTTAAGATACATGGTATAACCATTAACCGTTGTGGTGAGAAATTTAAAAATTGGAATGCCATAGTATAAAATACATAGTATTATTTCAGTAAAACAAATCACAACATAAAACAATAGTAGAAACACAAATATTAAATACTGAATACACTGATTTGATGGCACGGCTGTATAAACTCTTAACATCAATTGTTTCCATCGCTTAACAATAAAGTTAACTACAAATTGCCAAAATGTTGGATTGATAAGCATAAAAATATTAGCTTTCAACACTGCATGAACCTTATGATATCCAATCTTGTTGACACATGATTTTAGAGACAATTCTTCAATTGTTACTATGTGTAATCGCAAAAGTGTCCACCTACCATTTCCATCGGAAGAAATGCCTTTTTCAACAGCATTACCGAGATCTCTAGGAAGTGCAAGAACTATGATTCCAATCATCAGATATGTTAGAAGAGCTACAAATGGACCTCCAATCATCGGTAGAAACAAGGGATGACAGTCTACAATTCCACCTGCTATACTTGCAAATCCGAATGGTATTTTAGCTTTAACTAGTGCCGGCACAAGTTCGGGCCACCCGAAATGATACATTAAGATTTCAGCGTATATCGCTATAGGTGCTGCAAAGACAAAAATAACTCTTCTTATTCTAGATGCTGTTACTGGATGTTTTATTCCTAAGCCAAACATTCCTAGTACTAACTTAGAAAATGTAACTGGGCTTCTATTTTGTAGATAAAGCCATTCATCCTTATCCGAATCTAAATCTTCATATATGTTTAATTTGTCCTTGAACTTGTTGCCGGAATCCATTGCACGTGCACTAAATTTCATAAGCAAAATAGGAAAGAAACAAAAGAAAACGATTCCAACGTAATATGGTAATACTTGGTATCCGTTCCACTTCATATTGTATTCATCTTCGCATGATATCCCCTTCTCGTCTTCTTGACAACATCGAAACCCAAACATTGCATATGGAAGCCCAAAGTATATCCTCATTGTGTACCATATTGTATCCCGGACACCCTTATATTCCTTTATGTAACACCACTTTAAACTGTGGTTATAGTGAGACTCTTTAGATGGGATTTGAATGTTTGTTAACAAAGCCTCCGTTATACCGCAGTCTGTGTTCGTATTCCCTATTAAAACGTCACATCCAGGGGGATTCACAGTAATATTAAGTAGAATGTCAGACAGTGTTCTTGAATCTAAAAATCCGAACGAATAGAGGAAATAATCAACCGGCCAAGCAGTGAAAAAATCGCCTCCATATTTCCCCCGAGTTGTCATTATCCAGTCAGTTGGTAAAATTGTATCATTTGTAGATTTGACTGCCGATTCAAAATGTAATCTTATCTTAGCAGATAGACTTTCCGTTTCTCTAAATTGTGATTTCAAATGATTTGCAGAGTTACCATCGATGCTAAAATTACATGTGTTAAGATTCGAAGGGTTGCAAACTGTTTCGCTTGTAATGCTTTCTACCCACAAAAAAATAAACACCACTGAGAGTTTCATATTTATCTATAAGTAAAAATGTAAATTACTTAAAACATATTCGTATCATTTAGGTAACATGTATAGGTAAATAATCGGTCTGACGGATTTTTATGAAATTTTTGAATTGCCTACAACTAGAGTATGTAGAAACTGCATGTGAATAGGTACACACATGTAACTTTTTATACTTTCCGTGATAAAAGGAAATTGAAATTAATAGATCATTGATAATCTCTCATAATAGCTTGTGATATTTTCTTGTCACTTTTCTATTGTTATAAACTGTATATCGACTACAGGATGATTTTATATATTTTATCTTTTGGGTCGCTTTTTTATTGATGTACAAATGTACATGTATGACCAAAATTTTTATTTAAAAAATGTGTTCTAACACATTTTTTTTGCCTACTAATTTTAACCTTGTTATATTGCCTTAAACTTGCAGTTTGTTGGATTCCGTATTTACAGTGTTCAAGTACGTGTACGATCTTTATGTTGTTCATTGAAAGAGCTAAACACTTGCTTGTGGTTAATACCGGAACCAACATGTTTGGCTTTGAGTGTTCCTGGTGAAGATCAATTCAGATATGCGCTTCGGATGCATGAAATTAGAAATATTATTTTAGTTTTAAAGCAATCTGAAAGGGTGTGTTGCTGCCAATTAGGAGAAAAATTGTCATTTTGATTGATTGATTGATTGATTGATTTATCTATTGTTGCTTGATTAAGGTCTAGTAGCAAATATTTCATACATGTACATACTATATTCAAGAAGGGATCAAATTAACCATGAACAATAGGTAGGTTCTGCAGAGTAGGTCGACAAGGATGGAGGACGGGAAATTTGTTACTTGGAAATAAGAGTAAACATTTTCCATATGATTTTTATAGTTTGTTATTATGTAGTGCTGTTACCCCACTTTACCATGTTAGAGGGAGAGTGGAGCGCTCGCAACTTTCTGTATGTGATGACCCAAGTAAGGAACCTGATAAGATAACCCACGCTACGAAGTAGTAGGTGGTGTATAGTTTTTGACCCGTCCGTCTGTCAGTGATTTTCTTTTCCGGATGCTATATTTAAACTCAAATACTTTACACCGGATTGCAACCTTACTTGTGTTTCTTTTACACTAACTTTATTTGGTCTCTGATGGAAAGTTGTCATTTGCAATCACATCACATCTCCTTATTTTCATAGAGGCAGGAATTTATCCTTGCACCAGGCAACCTATGTAACCTTAAATGAGTTGTTGCAAGGGTTATTCAACGTGCTGATAGCGTTACACTCATCCGACTTGGGCCGTCAGATATTACGTCTCCATTTCAACATGGCTGTGTATTTATTCATTTTGCACAGTCAAAAGGGCTCCCCAGTTTAGCAAGGATTTTTGTATAGACGGGAGAAGTCCGTTGATGTCCATACTTCTGTACCCCCGTCAGTCATTGAGCCTTATAATAATAAATGCATAGCTGTTATAATTATGAGTGTATGTTATATCAGACATATTAAAACTATAAGATCACAAACAATCCAATTAACAGACAACATTATATTGAAAGATTTTGTATAGATTATGCATGGAAACCCCAATTTTGTGTGATAAAAAGAAAACTACACCATAGAATTTTAAGACAAAATATGAGAAGATAGCTCTAAGAATATGCTTTAAGATAAGAAAAAGAAAAAATGGGGTCACCTGACTCGTTTTTTTGCTACATAATAAAAGAGGTAAATTCACAACACATTTTATTACAAAAGTTACTTTATATGAGTTATCTCCGCTTACGTGGCAAAGTTGAAAAAAATGAATCACACACAAATATTCTGTTTTTTTGTTGTTGTAAAATACAGCCGTAAAATATGATAAATAAAATGAAATTGAGAATGGAAACGGGGAATGTGTCAAAGAGACAACAACCCGAGCAAAAAGCAAAAAAAAAAAAAAAAAAACAGCCCAAGGCCACCGATGGGTCTTCAACACAGCGAGAAAATCCCTCAACATAAGGCAGGCTTCAGCGGCCCCTAAATAAAAATGTGTACTGGTTCAGAGAAAATGGACGTCACACTAAACTCCGAAACATATAAATAACACATAATTTTCAATGTCAACATGAAATGTCTTAAACATGAATTACGTACTACTCTCGAAATTTGCACATTTCATTAAATATCTAGACCAATTATTATGTGCTATTTCAAAATCCATGACGAAGGAAGACACCCCATCTACCTTAAACACCCATCAATCAATTAATCAATCAACTAGTAATATTTAAAACATTTGATTTGCCAACAGAGCAAAAAGCGCACTATTCACAAAATGTATACATACCATGTTCATTTTCTATAAGTAATTATCACATTAAATGCATTATTCTTGCAGTTTCAAATAAATAAAAATAGGAAACAGGTTTTCCATTGTCATCACTTAGGAAGGAAAAAGATCATTGCCTTATATAAGCGATTCAACAAACAGTCATTGAATAACTTCCCGAATAATTTGGTGCAGACCAATAAACATATATGTTCTATTTTGGGATATAGAAATTTAAAAAATATCTTTATTTATTTATTCATCGTCATGAAGAGCTTTGATACAAAATGTCGGTTTTTAAAGTAGTAAATTACTAATTAAATGAACAAATTTGAACATAAAATTATGTTATATAGATACAATTGCATAAGCGTTGATTCTTGAAAAAGAAACCATGAGCCCGGATGGCGAATGGTTTGTTTTTCATGAATCAACGCTTATCCATTGTATCTATAACTTAAACTATTGTGTTAATGTCTTTTCAAAATTAAAGCCTTTTTTTAATTAGAAGGTATTGTAAGTGAGTTTAAATAACCATGTTATCATGTTCACCGACGCATTAATAAATCTAAGATCACAATTAATTAGTTAGAAAAATACAAATATTACTTACACAACACGTCTGTCTTTAAATTATCAGGCATCTGAATATTATCTGTGTTTACATAATAAGACATATTCGAACTTATTTCTAGTAAAATTGAGAAAAGAAATTGGGAATGAGTTAAAGAGACAACAACCCGACCAAAGAGCATATATAAAGTATATAAAATTATAATAAGTATATTACCGAAATTTCTAGCAAGAAGCCTAATTCTAGGCACATCACGATTTACTGGCACTATAGGAATTTGCGAATACATTTCTAATATGTAGTAAAACAGATGAAATCATACTATATTTATAAAACAAAAATGGACAAATAGTATCATTTTCGTTTCAAACATGTGAAATAGCAGATAATAATCCAAAAAATAAACGGTAAAACTCGCTATTATTACAAATATATCCATTATAACATACAAAATAAGAAAAAAACAGAATAACTTAAGAATTGGGACAACAAAGAGAATACAGGGATTCGAACCTAAACCGACAAGTCCCTACCTGTAACACATTGATCTTAACCATGCTAACCTCGCGGCTACCAACTAATACTATACGACTGCCTATTATGTATATATAAAGGTACACGCCATGTGTGTCCGTTGTACCGATGTATATCATATGTTCATTTATATATATAAAATAGACATTTAAATTGTAACCCATTGGTAGTCGAGAGGTTTCGTCGATGTTTTGATGTCAGTCACAAACATAACCGATTTCAAGGAAGGGTTCGATTCCCAGTGAAGGCATATAAAAATTACAAAAATTAAAGGTAAGTTTTTAAATTAATTCCATTAGTGAACAGAAATCAGTAAATTAGCCAATTCAAACCTAATGAAATTAGACACACAAAGGAAACAATTGAATATAATTTGGTGAGTCCATTTCAGCGGCAGATTTAGGAAGCGTTGATTCTAGAAAAAGAATCCACGGTAAATGAATATGCTGACGTCACCACAATGGTTTAAGTTAGCTGATCAGAACATTAACATATTATATATATAATTTTCATTAAAAGAAAAGATTAAGTTTGTTTAATTAACAAGGCATTAGGGAACGACCATTTAACTTCAGTGGGGGTTATGGTTTTTTTCCAAAAAAATATTCTTATCCCCAATTTGATGAAAAAAAATATTGTGGTCAAGCAGCTGACAAAAGAAAATATTCTGAATCCAGATTTTCCCCATACCTAATAGTGTTAAATTTTGAAAAAAATAATTTGATTGATAGCGTCGAAAAACTAAATCAAAAATGTTTGACTCAGACAAAAAAAACATAATTCCCCTCCCCCTCCCCCTTGAAGTTAAATGGTTGCTCCCTTAGTCTAGTTTTTGTGAATTTATTCTATTAATTTTTGAATTGTTTTGCACTGTTTAGATGGCTGATTATATTAGTCCTCCAATTGTACAAATTATCACAGATTAAGATTTTTGATGAAGAAACATGATCAAGAACCTTATTCATTACATATATATATTTGTTTAATTTGTAAAGGCAGCTATTTAGAGCAAATAGTTTTAATAATCGAGAATGATTTCTGACAGCCATGTTTTTATTAAAATTTTCGAACATGTTAACAGTCAATATATTTTCTTGGGTATTAAAAAAAATGCTGTGTTGAATTTAAAAAAAACGAGTGATTTACAAGGCGGCAATGGTGCCACATATGTTCAAATAAAATCAAGTGAAATCATATTTGGAAGACCATATAAACTGCTAATATAAAAGATGTGTGTTAGCACAAATGATAGCAGCGTTGCTATACAGGATCCCAATTCATTCTATTAGGGAATCTCAGAAACGTTACTGGACCTGCACGAACCGAACATCTACAGGTAGAATACAAAGCTATTTCGAGTGCCCTACTCATGTTTTGATAAAACAAATCCTCTTTATATGCCATGCACCAGGATCACAGGGAATCCCAATTCATAGGTATTTTTCTTACCGTTCCTGATGAAATAAAGAAAAAGAATTTCGGACACACGAAAATAATAGTGCTATTTACTTTTTAAAAATAAGAACAACACTTTATGCCAAAAGAGATAATGCAATTTTGGAATATTGAACTTTCTATTATCATATGTAGGACCAACAACAACAGGATCTTCAACAACAGGCTGCACGTCTACACAATACGTCAAGACATAACGCCGTCCAAAATTTAGAAAGTGGACCTTAAATTTGAACGAGACTATCAAAGATTTGCCATCAATAATATGTTCCCTTTTCAAAATGACTTAACATTAAGATGGAAAAAAAAAATTCTCCAACGAGGTCTATAAATTGCCACATGTCCCTTATTGTGCATTTTCATGTATAGATCAAACATTTAGTTTTTTTCTGCTCACATATTGTTTAATATTATATTCAAGCTATAGTAATATTTTAACTTTTTTATCCTTATCTAACAATATTTGAAGGAACAGCTCTAGTAAGATTAAATAAAATGTATATTGATAATTACTTCCACGATTACTTCCTTGATCGAATACGGAAGGTCAATCTGGCATATTATATTACAATACTTTAAATTAAATGAAAATGGAAGATATCAGTAACACTTTCCCCCATGAAATTCCCTTGCAGATTGTAAATAACTGAAGTTAAAACAGTTTTCCGTGTGACATATTATTGTGCAAACTTGAAGACAGGAAATGACCTTTGTAACATTGTTTAATGTTTTTATGTCCACAACGTGCATGGGAACGGAAATTACAACTTGACAATCTGATTATTCGCTAAGTTTTTTGTTGTTTATGCTTATAACTATTCTTGTAATTTTAGAAACAAACATAACATATTTCATTTCAAAAGAAACGTTCTAGGGTTTTATATTTCTAGATTCAAAGTATCAGTTAAAAATGAAAACAAACAATGTTTTCATATAGGGTAAAATTAAAATGGTTTAATAAGACGCATACACGTCACGTGTGGTTACGTATAAGTTTAACCCCACCACATGCTCATGTGGCCATCCTAAGTCAGGACCTCCGTCATTGGTAGTCTTTTGTTATACATGTGTCATTATTTGAGTTTTAATTGTTTCCTTTACGTAAATTGTTGCCGATGACCAAGGGTATGCTCCATTTGTTTATATCAATAATCCCGTTGATATAATATAGGTTCCAGGTTCTCCATAAGTGATGTACGGCCTGAGTATACGTTCATCCGTTTGGCTGTTAGGAACGTATAAATACGATGCCACGTCCGGTCAAAATTGGGAGTGTAAGTTAAGCTGCAATAAGTAGCAAGAGTGAATACATGTGGCTCTTTGCATTTAAAGAAACCCTGGTACATGTAGCAACCAATTTATTCACCAATCCAACATACCCTCATATTACAATGACAATATAAATTTTCGGCCCTAATCCTGTCGACCCATTCATTGTTAATCGTTATCGTACTGAATATACATGCCCTATACTGTTCCATACACTTGAAATTAAACAAATAACAATTAAACAAACCTTGCCTTGCTTATGTCTATTTTTGAATATGACGATTATAACCAAAATTTGTACATGTTATAAGCAACATGCCTTCTGGCACTATTTGAAAAGAAACTACTAACCCTCCGGGAAACCAGAGTTCACCCACAATTTAATTTAGTTTGTATAGCTTTTACTATATGCATTAAATGATATGAAGGGTAAACATCAGCAAGACAGGAAACCAATATTAAAAAAGATAACAAACGTGGTCCCTGAATTTGACCAGACACATATGCATTTGGCGGGTAATCTATTTTTTAAATTCTTTATTCTCACTCTTTTTCATATCGATCTAAAGACCTCAATCTGAGGGGAAAATCTAGTTCCACCCGGAAAAAATTGCCAGTTATGGGGAGTGGGATGAAGGAATGGCTATAGGACACCGGTTCACCTGTTATAAGTAAAATTATGGAGAGATATAATAAAAAAATCGGGTAAAAATGTTAGTTTTACGTTGCATTACATTATTTCATTATCAAATTCAGAAAATATTTTTTTGTTAGTTTACATTGCATTGCATATCACAATTATTCGTCATGTTAAATCTTCATGGAACTTTATCACTATCTGAACAAATTTATTTCTTCCTAAACTGACCATTGAGATATTTCCAAATTAAATAGGTGACAGGTGAACAACATCTTTGCAATCTTGTATTTCGTTTTATATTACAAAAACAACGTTCAATATGTAACTGCTACGATGTGCATGATTCGTCGTGTTTTTTTTTCAATGTTGCTATAATTGGATATCTATCTTTTTAAATAATCTGCTTCTACTGTGTAGATTCTAGTAAACACACATATCTTCATAAGAACTGTGATGAATTGTACATTTTAAAAATCCATCATCTGTGCATAGACAAAAGTTAACGTTATCCGCTTTGAAAAATTCGTGGTTTGGTTGTATATACCTTCCATCGTGAAAACAGTATCCTAAAAAAAAACGTCAGCTTAATTACTCAAGAGTGCATTTCTTTCTAGCACAAACGATGCAAACGACTAAGCGCGCACATGTTTTGATCATTTGTTTCAAACATACGTTTGCAAAGTTTACATAAACTTTGACAAACTATGCATTCGCTAAAAATGCGTCTGCAGTTCGTCGTTTGTCGTTTGTTAGTACAAACGCTACATTTGTTTCTAACTTCAACCTTTAATATATTAAAATCAATCGGATCTAGGACCAATCCAGTATATCTTATTATAATCCTTCGTAATTCATCCATTTTCTATGTGCATATATTTAGAGTAATTCAGAGCTGGTATAACTCTGTGAATGATACATATTTTTTCTTGTGAAATAAATTTTTCATAATTCATACTTGCATGCTTGTAGTATGAGACTTATGTGTGTATTTTAAGAATAGAAATTCATATCTGGTATGTGTTTTTATTACCAGTATTACAAAGAGGTGTTTCGGTTATGGTCATGTAGACCTAGGCCTATCCTCATCAAGTATCCCCTATATTTTACCTTTCTTGTAATATTTTAGAATGGTTCGAATTTGATTTCACTTATGGGGATACGTCTGTTTACCAACATCACGTGCATGCATTATTGAAACTTCAAAAAAGGGTCAGAAAACACGGATTAAACGATGCATTTGTTTCTTCTTTTGTAGCGTTTAGCAAACGATAACAAACGCCACACAACGTTTACAAAATTTTGAGTAGAAAGAAATGCACTCCAAATTCGGTCGTCCTAATTTTGCAACTATCAGTAATTCCATATGTAAGATGTCAGTTACTACAACTGTAACAGTTAATTTTCCTAACTTGATATAATTTTGGTAGGTTTATTGTCATGTTATTATAAGTACTTTAATTTTTTGGTTCCAGTTGACTGTACCATGGTCTTAGATCAATTCGCAATATCAACAACTTTTTATCCTCACTTTTTTGTAATGAGTAGAAATATATAAAAAGACAATCAACTTCACTTGTTGTCTTACTGGCAATTAGAAATTTGGGGTAAATGATATATTGTGTATAGACGAACTGGCTGACCACAAATTATTAGTCTTTTTGACATGTGCCTTTTGAAACGGAAAAAGGCCATGGATTAGGTCTTTGTGATATTTGAACTACTTATTGTTATAGATAGTTGAAAAGAAAACGCTTCAAATGATTGGAACATAAAAACACTGAAAAAATGGAACCCCTAACAATTTGTCACTACATTAATGTCCGAAACTTATAACAACTGTACGTGATGTTTCTTTTATATTTTCTTTACCAGAAAAATGAAACCTTTATCTTGAAAACAGCCCCCGCTATTGGTTTAGCACAGAACAGAAAAGTTATTGCTGGTCATCTTTGTTGTTTTCCATTTCTACCTATCTATTGTTGACAGATGTCTACCTATCTATTGTTGACAGATGTCTACTTATCTATTGTTGACAGATGTCTACTTATCTATTGTTGACAGATTTCTACCTATTTATTGTTGATAAATTGTAAGATTATAGGACACGAACAAATTATTAACAAATCATCTTTTAGGGACTACAATTCGCCGTTTCAGAATTTAAAGAATTACAGGAAATTTCACTGTTCGTAACCCAAAATCAAAAATAACGTGACGTATTGGTTAAATTTTAAATGTTTAGGACGTTGTGATTGGCTCACAACGTTTTGGTGTACGCTTTTGAAAAGAATCCCCAGAATGATAGCGATTCTGAAACGAGCTATCGGAAGTTATCTGATAATTTTTGTAGAAATGTTCTTCTGCGCTAAATTCTTTATGTGACTGTCCCAAATCAGTATCCTTTAATCCAGTAGTTGTCGTTTGTCGCTGTCTGCCATATTTGTTTTTCGCCCACTGTTTTACGATAAATAGGCCGTTGGTATTCTCTTTTCAATTGTTGCACGTTTTGTCACAGCAAGAAACTTTTATGGCTAGCTATAAGGTATGGATTTTGTGAAGTGCTGAAAACCGTAAGGTGACACTAAATTGTTCACATCTTTGAACTTTGGCCTTAATGGCTAGTTGCCTCATTTGCAATCATGCCACATAAGATTAATTGTATATACACTGTAGGTAGATATCTCGACAATCTAGACGACGGACAGGCCATTTGGGCCAAGTGAGCTAACTAAAAACTGTTTAATACTGTAGTAAACACTTTGAAAATTCTTTTAATATTCGGTGTTGATGTCGTATCTTAGATATTCATAAAGGAGGTATTGGCGTCTTCTCTTCTAAACTGAGAACATTTGGTGTACGTTATATGGCTTTGAGATTAGTCAATCATTGAAATTTGTCAATTGACCTCTTAGTGCCTGTTTTTGGTAAACGATCTATTTTTGTTTTTTAATGTCTAATTAACGTCTCAATAAATAATAGATGTACATGTACCAGTATTACATAAACGCCTACAATTTGGTTACTGACCTGCACATGGTCTGCAGTCAACTATATGTGTACATGGATTCTTCTCACACAACGTGTATCTACAGACGTCAAAAGTTTTTCCCGGCAGACACATCTTTGTGTGTTTCCCTGTAGATCCTGGTGGGTTTCTAAATGGACACATGTTATAAAATTTGAAGCATTTTGAGGTGTGTGGCTGCGGGGGAACTGAAACGAAACAAGAAAACAGACTGAATACATTCGTTAAAATACATAATTTATGCAACACAAAGTGAGAACCAAAATGAAATTTACCTTTTAACAGTTTTAAAGTCAAACCTCTGCGAAAAAAAAAATGAAAACACACAGTGTCTTTATTGGGATTCGTAAACTGAAAAGCGGTCTATATAAAAAAAACAACAAAAAAAACCAAAAAAAAAAAAAACCAGATTTGTCGGAAAGGCACGAATACAAATCAATATTTTCAGTTATAACTAAAAAAGTCCGGTCAAACGTTTGATTTCAGAAGAACGGGAGGATGGAATTACGGACATGGGTAACACTTAGTATATATGTCAGAAAAACTAAATAATCGGTGTACACTAATAAATGACAGATAGCCATACCATTAAATGAGTTATCCGGATTAAATTTTTGAACTGGTTGTCAATAGATGTCGCCGCCTCGTTCTGTTGTTGGTCAAGTTGCGTAATTTTGGATTCTTATTTAGACTTTTGGTCGCCTAAATCGGTAAATCGAATGTACCAATATGTTATCAAATTTTATTGATTCAAAGTTTTCTGTGTGAAGTGGGTGAATTCTACCTAGTGCAACAAGTAATTCTCAGAGTCTAATTTCGCCAATATTTGCTCTATTAAATTCCAACTTCACAGAAAAATGTTCCACACAGTGATCATTCAACATAACATGACATTGACAAAAGTAAAAACGGACGTTGCTATACAATGACTTTGATATTCAGTAGTTTACCCAAACAATTCATAAATGCCAACCTTTTGCAATTGTCGATACAAAGACTTGTCTTATATCAGGCTCATTAAATCGTCTTTGATAATCTTCCTCTGTTCTGTATAGTCCTAAGTGTTCACCATAACTATCCCCATACCATACAAGTAGCTCCGTTCCAGGTCTGATACATTCATAAGTCACATAATAAATCTCATAATTGTACTGGAGAAGGTAAAGATTTTCGTCCTCCACTGTATTGGCACAGTTAACATATCTTATCCAGCTGGAGTGAGTTTTAGGAGAAGCATCAACATAGTGTTTTACCCGTTCTCCAGACTCGTATTTTACCTAATAGTGTGTTTGATAGTATAAGTATGAGTTAGATAATTCCATGATAATGTTGTGTAGATGAAGTAAAGCTCGCCAGTTATGTCCCAGTTATACAGTATTTTGTTCATGAATTATAGAAATTTTATTAAAGATACAGTTACTATTATAGACATATTTTTTCAAAACTTTTATAACTATTCAGATTTTTATATTGTTTTGATGATTTATGCAATTTTTAAAGTCTTCGTATTTGTTACATGTATAATATATACCCACTGTCAGGCTAAATATGACATACTGCATGGTTATCTTTTTATATTTTCATGCAATTGTTGATGAATATCAGAGGTTATCGTTTAAAAAAGTAAGAAAATAGTTTATTGTATTGTAAGTTACAGCTCAGGACCGTCTTGATCAAACTGTATGGTGCTTTGTTTTATCTTATCTTTAAAGGCATTTAAAAGTGCTGTCCTTTGGATTTTTTTTATAGCTCATGAGATTGTCATGTACTGTGCATTCGCTCGATAAATCTCCCTTGTAACGAAACAGTGAAAGTAAAGCATGAAATTAAAACTGAAGTCTTTTCCTATGTTTTAATAAGCATAATATAATAGATCATATTAGTATTGAAAGACATACGCAATTGGTGTTTTCTAATCTTCTGTTTGAAAATGATTAAATTTCAACTTAATAACCTAAGCTAATAATATTAGATCAGTGATTTTTTTCCAATTCAAGTTAATTATTCTACTTTCGTCTCGTCACTTACGCTCCAAGTGTAAGCCCAACTTATATCAGGAATCTGTGTTTTGTATAAAACACCATCGTATGGACCTAATCTTGTGTCTTTTGGAATAGTTGTCTCTGCGAATACACCTAGACCAGAATTATATATTGTTGATTGTCTTATAGAGAATCCTGGTGGCATTGTGGCAAAAACATGGTCATCATTATTAATGTCTGTCTGAAAAACAACTGTATGATATAGTTTGTATAAAGAAAAAAAAATGTATATCGTTGAAAATAACAAATGTTTTATGTTATTGATAAAGTATATTATTAAGTAAGTTTCAATAATATGAGAATAAGAAGATATAGCATAAATGCCAATAAGACTATTTTACATAAAAGACCGAAGGACAAAGATGTGAATAATAAAAGGTCACCGTACGGATTTCAACAATGCATAAAACCCATAGGCGTAAAAACATGCTTTAACAGGCAACAGGATGACAAAGTGTGAAACAATTCAAAAGAGAAATAAACGGCATAATTATACTATACAAAAACAAAAAGCAGCAATTATATACAGCGAATAAAACAACCACTGAAATAGACGCTCCCGACAGGCACAATAAGAATGTTGCGGGTTAAATAAGTTTGTGAAGACTCAACCCTCCCCTAAGCTCGTACAGTGGTGTTACAATACAACATAAGAACAAATTGTAAAAATCAGTTGAAAAGGGCTTGATTTACACCTACAACAGATTTGATGTAAGGACATCGACACCATGACATTGTACGATGCAAAAATATCAGCATCGACAGAATGTAGGCCTATTGTTAATTAGAAATGTTAACCATATATAAGTTTTAGTCGTAATTTTATATTAAAAGTGGTAAACAAGACTTTTAAGCAAATAAAAAAAAAAGAAAAAACGATAAAAAAGAACTATGTAATTAACGGTCACGATCTTGTTAAAATGTTTTGTGTGTAATGGACTTACATTGGACTGTTTTATTATCGTATATAAAAATACTGTAGGTTGTAGTGTGTGTGATATCCAATGTTCAATTCCAACAAGTAACGCTTTCTTACATTTCTAAGGTTCAAATGATATTAATTATCTGTATTATATCATCATTGTCGTCGTCGTCGTCGTCGTCATTATCATTAACAATAAATTATATATACTATAATGTAAAGATGAAACATGCATTTTGAATACAATTTGTACAAAATGTAGCCCATTTTTGCATTTGATTTGCATTACACTTTAAACATGGATCTGTACATGCCTCGACATTTTTAATAACATACAATCCGTTTTCCTCTGGCAAGTCAGGGTTTTCACAATCATAAGATACTGAAAAAAATATAAGAAAACAATTTATATTTTCCAATACGATTATATCAAACAGCTATCACATATAAGTACACTAATGTCACCAATTAACTAGATATCTATTAGATTTCATATATACAAAAACCTTGTTAAGAAGTTTGGTTGTACCTGTAAAATTCTTATTAATATCAGGATATCACACCCTATGTTTTGTAGGGCCCTTAAACTTAGAAACGTTCACTGTAAACTCATTGATATATTTTAATTTCCATAATATACTTTCGAAGATCTTTTGTGGCACTCCGTTGAAATCGCAAATCATGATGATTGGTTTTGTATTGAAATATGTAATTTAAAATATACAAAATAAACATTTACTGCTTTGGATTTCATAATTACGACCATTTTCATATAATTACGTTATATAGATACAATGGATAAGCGTGGATTCTTGAAAAAGAAACCATGAGCCCGGAGGGCGAATGGTTTGTTTTTCATGACTCTACGCTTATCCTATGTATCTATAACTTAAACTATTGTGTTAATTTCTTTTCAAAATTAAAGCCTTTTCTTAATTAGAAGGTATTATAAGTGAGTTTAAATAACCATGTTATCGTGTCCAACGATGCATTGATAAATCTCAGATCACAATTAGTTGGTTAACAAAATACAAATATAACACTTCTACCTTTAAAGAATTTATATTACCAGGCATATGAATATTATCTGTTTATACAAATGATAAGACATATTCGAAATTATTTCTAATAAAATTGAAAATGGAAATGGGGAACGTGTCAAAGAGACAACAACCCGACCAAAAAGCATATATAAAGTATATATAATACGTATGTTATCGAAATTTTTCTAGCACTCTAGGCACATCACGATTTTCTCGCATAGGAATTTGCGAACAAACCTTTGTAAAATTATGTAGTAAAACAGATGAAATCATATTATATTTATAAAACAAAAATTGACAAATAGAATGTAATCATTTTTGTTTCAAACATGTGAAATAGCCAATAATAATAAAAAAAAACCGGTAAAACTCGCTATTATTACAAAAATATCCACTATAACATGCAAATTTAGAAAAAAAAACAGGATAACTTAAGAATTGGAACAACAGAGAGAATACAGGGATTCGAATTAAACCGACAAATCCCTATCTTTAACTCATTGATTTTAACCATGCTAACCTCGCGGCTACCAACTCATACTATACGACTGCCTATTTTGTCTATCTAAAGGTACAAGCCCTGTGTGTCCGATGAACCGATGTATATCAGATGTTCATTTAAATATATAAAATAGACATCTATAGTGTAACCCATTGGTAGCCGAGAGGTTTCGTCGATGTGTTGATGTAAAGTCACACATAACAGATTTCAAGGAAGGGTTCGATTCCCAGTGAAGGCATATAAAAATTACAAAAATTAAAGGTAAGTTTTTAAATTAATTCCATAAGTGAACAGAAATTAGTAAATTAACCAATTCAAACTAAATGAAATTAGGCACACAAAGGAAACAATTGAATATAATTTGGTGATTCAATTTCAGCGGCAGATTTAGGAAGCGTTGATTCTAGAAAAAGAATCCACGGTAAATGAATAGGCTGACGTCACCACAATGGTTTAAATTTTATTATACAGTATGTTTAAATATTATGAAAAGTTTGGATTTGCAAACATGTTGTTTATTTTATGAATGGATGGCTATTTAACACCAAGTGGAAAATTAAATGCAAATTCAGGTCGAGAAGATGATGATGTAATATGAATGCAAATCCTACTTTGTACTAGACCGACAATCTGAGCCGGATTTTATTATGTGCTAGTACACAAGGTAATAGTCCGATGTCAGACATGTCACCCTACCCGAACACATTATTCTAATTCCGAGCCGACCAGTCTTTGATCTTACTCCTAAATGCCGCGTGCTTAAGCAAATACCAATGTTAAGCCTCCCTCATACTAGGCGAGCACGCTAACACGAAACCGCCGAGGCGTACCTTACGTAATTTGGTTTTCATTTACTTAAAAGATGTCTCATCAATTCTAAGTCAATGGTGCTAAGCGTTAGGACTTTTATTACAAACCAATTTAAAGACAAAAATGATACCATACCTATATAAAGTAGGCGACACTCAATTATGAGCATCAACAATGCTAAAGATGACATTCTGCTGCTTAATATGTACTACGTTCTCAATCAGCATTATTCTAATACATTATATACAAACTGAAAATGTAAACCATATGTTAAGTTTTATTCATAATTACATTGTAAAAGTGCTAAAATAGCCTTGTAAGTAAGGAAAAGAAAAAAAAGAAGGGATGATTACAATAACTCCCTAATCAACGGTCAGAATTTTATTAAATATTATAGTGTTATTAACTGGCTGTTTCTGTATCGGCCCTGTTCAAGGTTAGCTGTATTGGACCCGAGACTCGAAGAGTCGAGGGCCAATACAGCTGATCGAGAATCTATAACAGGGCCAATACAGAAACAGCCAGTTCATAACACTTTTATTAAATGATTTTAATTCTTTTAATTGGAATAAACTTAGAAACTTACCGTGAAGAAGATACAGAATTTCACATCTGAACTAGTCTTTTGACTTTTCGCATTCACGTCCATGGATTTTTTGTCAACATTGTCAGATGTAATTTCTGAATTCTCGTCCAAGTACTTAATATTATGCTATTACAATTCATTTTGTCCGAAAAGCAATATCAAGTCTTGATTTATATCGACAGGGCAACGTCATTAGTATTGCACATGCTGATTTATCCGTATTAGGGCTGATTTGCTCATATCATTTAATAATGTGAATTTCAGAAGTAATGGACTAACATTGGATGTAATGGATTTACATAGAAATGCAGTAACAGAGTATTTTTTAAAATCAATTCAATTACAGGTTTGTATGATATCCAAATGTCCAATTATACAATGTAACCTGGTCTTCAAAATCTATAATTTAAAACACATTCAGTTAATGTTTATATACATATAACATAAAGATAATAAGATTTGGTATGATGTCTAATGAGTCGAATTTTCAACAGACTGGAAGACAAGAATGTAAACAACTACAGGGCATGCACTGTATGGCCTTCAACAGTGAGCAAAACCCAATCGTAAAGTAATCTATAAAATCCCGGAATAACATGATGTGAAACAATTCAAAAGATAAAGCTAATGGCCCGGTTCTGACTATTTCACAGCTCCTTTCAGTTTATACATCTAGTAGTTCTTTAGACTTCTGTTAACGTTTTTAGTAAAACTTTTAAAAACGCTAAATGGTATATTCATCTTCTCTCAGATTTCAATTCACGATCAAATCTTGGTGAACTTCTACGTCATTTGGACTTAAGTGGAAAGTTGTCATAATTGTCATCTTAACTTATATGTTTCAATTGATATTATATGTATCGAGCGGGGTTTCATGTCAGGGCGTATCCAGTTAAAATTAAGTAGTGGAAAAGTGTATTACTTAGTCTAGTAATATATATATATATGTTAGCGGCAATAAGTGAAATTAGACATTAAACTTAAATCCTAGGCAATAAGCTAACGCCTAGGCAGTAAGTTTATTGCCTAACTAATGTTAGGCATTACTCTTAAATCCTAGGATTTAAGCTTAAATCCTGAAAATTATGTCCAGGCATTAATGTTAATGCCTAAAATGAAATTGAGAGTAAATAAAAAGAAATTTATTCAAAGTTAAAATACATTTTGTACATAATAAAATAATAAGAACTGAAATTTGAATATCAATTACATGAACTAAAATCATAAGTAAAATATTGATTTTAAAACTCATTGAGTAAACCTCTTAAAATGTATATAAACTTGTTGGGTAGTTGTCTCATTGGCAATCGTACATCTCCTTATTTTTATATTGATAGAGAATTGTATTGAAATTTATTTGTAACCAATTGGTGTGGAGCTATGGCACATACTATTTCACAGTTTTAATTTTTTTTATCATTTGTACCTGGCGATCGTCCAATACCTTTGTGTACAGCAGAATTTTTTCGAATATAGTCGAATTTGATTCCAATTGACCACTGTTAATTCGTTGTTTCTCATCAATGCAGTAAGCATGTCATGAATATTTCGGTTTGACCACTCAATACTACCCTGTGATTTGAGATGTATTGGCTTCCCATGAACAATAGCTAGTTCTGGCCACATTAGTATTAATTCAGCTATAACAGCAGCAAATTCACGACCTTTGTGACTTTGCTGTTTAAATGGCACACCAAATCCTGTTACACCATAAGAAAATATAGTTTCTATCTCACTTTGATAGGAAATCGATTAAATGAACTTGTCCTCTTCTGCAGGTTTTACTACTTCCCTCTTCCCTATGCACATTTTATCATGTTACAAAATGGAAGAAATAGTACAACGGAGTCATGGGAAATACTTGCAAGGCCATTATTAAGTTGTTTAATTGTATGGTCTATAATAATAGGCCGCATTGACATATTTCTTTATGTTTTTTTTCTCCCCAAAATACCATACAGTTCCTCTTGAAAAACATAAACTTTGAAATTTCCCTCATCATTCTCTTTTACTTTAGTTACCAGTCTTTAAAACCTTCAATGGTAAAGAATTGTCAAATGTTTATTGTACTTTTGCCTTGTGTTTGTGATCTTTATTTTCCCCGATTTAAATTTATATTCCCGCAAAGATTTAAGAAAATTGTTTCTTTAATGATAATAATTCTGTTTAAGAAATGAAAAGACAAGATAGGTATTTAAGAAAATTTATATATCCAATAAAACAAATGGAAAAATAATGTCAGTGGCAAAATTTCATATCTTCAGTTGTCTATTTTTGACCAATCCGGATCGACCATTGAAAAGCAATACCACAAAGAAATAAGAGTAAGTTCTGTTTTGAATACGAAAAAATACTAAAAGATGATGATCTTTTAAAACATTTTATATTAATTTTTGGAATATAATTTTTAAAATATTATTCATCAAGAATATTTCACCGAATAAACATGTATTTGGAAGATAAACAAAAATCCCAAAATTTACTTATTGCCTGAAATGATGTTTGGCAATAGGTTGAATAATCAACATCAGATTTCAGGAAATAAGCTTAATGCCTGGAAATTTCAGGCAATAACTTAATGCCTAGGCGTTAGCTTATTGCCTAGGATTTAAGCCTAATGCCTAATTTCACTTATTGCCGATAACATATATATATATACTTATTACGAAATAAAATCACAAAAGATACCAAAATTTTCTCATTCTATGTTGTTCTTATATACGTTATTTCTGTAATAATTATATCATGATAATATTCTGTATAAATTGTTCCTAACTGCACCTTTACCATCAGATGTTTATCGGTCATTACAAAAATATTGTATTTCTCTGTCCTTTAGCAAGTCAATATGTAATTTGTGTTTCTAATTTGCGACAAGATACAAAAAGTATCAGCGTATATATGTCATTTAAGTAGTGTCTATATTCAAAGCATGTTTTATGTACAGTGTATCCGACTTCTTACCTTTTTGATATTTTTATCTCTCAACTCCCCAAATTTCTTTATTGTTTACATTTGTACTAAATTTGATGATACCGAATTGTGTGTCTAAAAGGGAGAAGAACACATATTCTATGTAAATAATTATCTTGACAACAGTTGCATTTGTTTGTAAATTTTAAGATAAATAGAATTACATAAAATAGAAATATGTGTAGCGTTTGTAGGTGAATCATATTCATTGTGTCTTCTTATTAGACTTTGAGATTAAAATTGCTGATGTATAATAACATTAATTATATTATTAAAATGCATTACAGGGATATTAATGAAGAAGTTTATAAATATGTTCATAAAATTCGGTGATTGGTTTTGTTTATCATAATAGAGTTTAAATTACAGTTGTGAAAAATTGTGTTAATAAATTCAATACAAACAAAACTGATGTAATACAGAAATTGTCGTTCTAAGCCAAATAAAGAGAAGAAAAGAAAGACCAATTAATTGTAAAGGCAAAGTAAATCAAACAGTTAGATAACAATTAAATCATAGAGTTAAAAAAAAAAATGAACTACAAAACAAAACAAAAATAAAATGAAATGTCATGGATAGATTAGCTTATTTATAACCCCAATCGTAAAGATCATAATTATACTTGTGAATTATTCAACGTTTGTTTTTTATTTCTTTGTTTGTTTGGATGTTTTAATGTTTTTGGCCTCGAGAATCACTGAAGAGATTATAAATTGTCGAAATGCGCATTGTTAAGGTGCAGTAAAATTGGTACCGTTATATTGTTTAAACTCGAGTCAATAAATTTAAACGATGAGACCTGTTTTGTGTGTTAGGTAGGCTTGTCTAACTTTCAGAAAATATTGACTTGTTCCAAAGCCAGCATGCATGGTGTTAGTTTGGTATCCAAACTTTTGAATTTTTTAACATTGAAGTAGTTTGGGTTATCTGGTTAAAAGAGAGTAATTAAAGGTGACTAGCACCAACTAGTTTTTACATCCAAGATAAGAGGTAGAAGTAAATTTATTTTCTGCTGCCCTGTTAATTAGAAAATAAAATTGAAATAGTGAGAAATGAGTGTTGGCTTTTTGTGTAGAAATAGCGAGAAATTTGGAGGAAACTCTCTGTGATAAGCGCAACATTTTCTGTGCAAAATTAAACAAAGGGTGCTCTTCATTCATACTATTTCGAATATTCCGGAGCCATAGAGTACCCTTTAAAATGCCTTTTTCTATCAAAAAAGCTGCGGCACCATATGTGTTTTGCAGTTTTATTCACATCCAAAGATGTTGAAAATTCATAATTTGGCAATTTTTTTCAACAGATCTTTTATAGTGAAAACGCAGAACCCCAAACGACTATCATTGCCACCTATGTAAATGATTACTTCATTTTAACCATCTGGGGAACAGTTTAGACAAGAAAGTGACGTCGGATTGACCTTCTCTTCATTTTTAATTGTGTAAATACTTCTGTTACATCATGTATACAGGTGGTCAGTAAGAATATGACTACACACATTGTCTGGAAACATCACAACTGTACACCATAATGACCTAAATGAGACCAGATTGATAAAAAAAAACAACCAACAACTTCAAACAACAACTTAACGTTCTTCATTTAAAATCAGTTTGTTCTAAGATCAGCAAAATTGAGCCAATGATAAACACAATACAGCAATTCAACATGGCATTATTTCTAAATATATCAATAAGATTTATGCACATCGAAAAGAAACGGAAGATACATAAAAGAGAATCAAAACTCATAAATCGAAGTGAGACCGAGGAAATTATGGCCAATTAAAAACGAAAAAACATCAAACAGACAAATAACAGTCTTCAAAAGACTGCATAAAAAGCTAACGACTGAGCAACACAAAACCCACAAAACACCGAGGATGATCTGAGGGGCTGTGGAAGGGTATGTTGCTACGCATCTGCTCCTTATGTTTTTCTGCATATTACTCTTATGATACTCGATAATGCTTGGTTTCAGTGAAGTCTCATATTTCAACGAATATTTACAGTAGGGATAGATATATTATCAACTGTTCATTATAGTCACTCGATTCTATCTAAAATATTGGGCTTAGGCAAGCAAGTCCAAAAAGCCTAAAGTATATTACAAAATAAATTGAATATTTGTCTATACGTGTAATGTAAGAAGTGTCTTAATTCAAAGCCATCAATATTTACAGTTAATTGATAACAACGTATTCTATTTCTTACCTTTTCCATGTTTATGCACTCAACTCCCAAGATACCTTTATTGTTTATATTCTTCTATACATGATCATACACAATTTCATGTAATAAAGGGAAAAGACCATCTATTATGTGTAAATAAATATCGTGTCAACAGTACCATTTGTTTGTAAATATAACTATCATTTAAAATATGTCTAGCGTTTGTATGGTGAATCTGGTTCATTGTGTCTTATTTTGAGACGTACTGAGGAAAGGACTTTGAGATTAAAATTGCTGATTTATTTACATTTAAAAAAAATTATTTATAATGCATGGAAAGAGTTGTAAAGAAGTTTATAAATATGTTGATAAATCTAGCTAAGTGATTGTTGTATTTTTTTAATATACAGAAATTAAATAACAATTGCAGTACATTGTGGTATTATATTCAATATAAATAACTATGATATAATACAGAAATTGTCGTACTCAGTCAAACATAAAGAAGAAAAGAACGACAAAATTAATTTGCGAAGGCAAAATAAATCAAACAGAATGATAACAATTGATTCAAAGAGTTTAAATACAATAAACTACAAAACAAAATAACAACTGATAGAGAGAAATCAAAATCTATTTAAACCCAAATAGTAAGATCATATGTCGAACTAAGAGTTTGAAATTCAGATCAATAATTCTAAACGAGGGGACCTGCTTAGTGAAAACTTCTCCAACTATCAGATAAACTTAAATCAGTGTGACTCATTAAAATAAATTTAGTTCGGACTAGCTAGGAAACCATTTGTGAAAGAAAATAATGCCCGATTGTACCTGTCGTCATCTGTTCGAATATGATCAGTAAGAAAAAAAAATTATAACCAAAACTAACAACATCTACAAACATACACAGAACACTAATGACCTAAATGTAACAAGATTGATAAAAACAACCAATAATTCAAACAACAACACAACATAAGTTCTTAAACTAAAACAAAATTGTTCTCAGACGGGCAAAATTGAACCCATGATAAACAGAATAAAGCAGTTGAACTTGACAATGATAAACCTCATGTACCAATTAGGTTCATCCACTGCAGCGTACTCTGACTATGTATTCAATGTATGCCTATTTACGGTGACGCCTCATGTTTCAACGAACTTAATATTTTCATAAGTAAGCACTTTTACAATAGGGACAGAGAAATCATCAACTGCCCATATTAGTCACTCAATGTGATTTGTTGTTAAAGTATGATTCTATACACCCAGCTCTTTGTGATAATATACTGAGTGCCAATATAAACGCAATTCCTACAAGTATTTTCAAAAGGAAGTTAAACAAAATGATTATCGCTCTTATATTTTGAAGACTGCTTAAGATATTGCTTCAACACATTTCCAGCAATTCCCAGAGCTTTTTGATTTTTAGATTATAATAATGTTTACAACTTCTACGTTTTTTAACAAAAATAAAACACGAAATTTACATTTTCAATCACGGCTTTCCAACATAATGAACCACCTATAGCAAAATATTACCAAAATGTAGTGCAGATTAACAATATTCCTTTGATTTTAGTCCAGAAAGATGACATTTGGATGAAAATTTGTTAGTGATGATTTTGGTCGCTATTGGACTAATCTCAAGTTTTTGAACTAAAAAATGTCTATGTAGGACCATATTATTAAAGAAAATGTAGCCAAATGTTTGTGAATTGGATTAAAAAAAAACATCTTTGTAATGCTATTCAAAAAGGGTCCATGGACTATAAATATGATGTGTTGATTGATAGCGTTTGTATGGTGAAACTGGTTCATTGTGTCTTATTGTGATACGTACTGAGGAAAGGACTTTGAGATTAAAATTGTTGATTTATTTACATTCAAATATTTATAATGCATGGAAAGAGTTTTAAAGAAGTTTATATATATATGTTGATAAAACTAGCTAAGTGATTGTTGTATTTTTTAATATTCAGAAATTAGATAACAATTTAAGTACATTGTGGTATTATATTCAATATAAATAAATATGATATAATACAGAAATTGTCGTACTCAGTCAAACATAAAGAAGAAAAGAACGACAAAATTAATTTTCGAAGGCAAAATAAATCAAACAGAATGATAACAATTGATTCAAAGAGTTTAAATACAATAAACTACAAAACAAAATAACAACTGATAGAGAGAAATCAAAATCTATTTAAACCCATTTAGTAAGATCATATGTCGAACTAAGAGTTTGAAATTCAGATCAATAATTCTAAACGAGGGGACCTGCTTAGTGAAAAATTCTCCAACTATCAGATAACCTTAATCAGTGTGACTCATTATAATAAATTTAGTTTGGATTAGCTAGGGAACCATTTGAGAAAGAAATTAATGCCGCATTGTACCTGTCGTCATCTGTTCGAATATGGTCAGTACAAACAACACAGCACCATGATGACCTAAATGTAACAAGATTGATAATTTCAAACAACAAACAACACAACATAAGTTCTTGAACGAAAACAAAATTGTTCTCAGATGAACAAAATCGAGCCCATGTTAAATAGAATAAAGCAGTGGAACTGGACAATATTAAACCTAATATACCAATAAGGTTTATCCACTGCAGCTTACTCTGACTATATATTCGATGTATGCCTATTTAAGGTGACGCCTCATATTTCAACGAACGCAATATTTTCATAAGTAAGCACTTTTACAATAGGGACACAGAAATCATCAACTGCCCATATTAGTCACTCAATGTATCTCAAATATAAAGATTTGTTGTTAAAGTATGATTCCACACACCCAGCTCTTTGTGATAATATAATGAGTGCCAATATAAACGCAATTCCTACAAGTATTTTCAAAAGGAAGTTAAAAAAAAATGATCACCGTTCTTGTATTTTGAAGACTGCTTTAGATATGCCTACAATATATTTCCAGTAATTCTCAGAGCTTTTTGATTTTTAGATTATAATAACATTTACAACCTCTACGTTTTTTAAAGACCAACATCGGGCGATATAAGAGTGTAAGTCAGTACATTTGTAACATCTTAGATTTTTAATATATAGATGTCTAGAACTGATAGCAGGAATTTGTAAAGAACATTTTGCCCAAATTTCAAACAAAAGTAATCTTCATCAAACTCTATCAACCATCGTAAATACACAAAATAATAAAAGGTTGAATTTGTCTCCGTTTAGCAAGTTTGTTCCATTCCTATCTGGACTTTACATGGATGGCATTGAATAAATCAAATATAAAAAACTGCGCGATTCAGAAGACAACACATATAAACATACTTTTAGTTACACATTGTGCTAGTAACCTAATACGATATATACAGGATCAGTAAATTCCATATGGGGCGAGATTAATGTTGTTGATTTTTAAATTTCCGTTGTAATGAGATAAAATAAAAATCGGGTCACCCAATTTTTTTACGGTATACATCATGCAGAGCGGTGTTCTATGTGAATAAATACCACAACACGTCGAAAAACCATTGTTTTATTTTCATTTTTTTCATTTTCTTTCCATTTTTGCTTCGCTACACATCGACAAGATAGTTAACATACAATCCATTTAGAAGAAAGTATTTGTTGACGTCTTCAAAATGTAAAGGAGTTGATTAAATGACCGTTCCACCCTGGGAGAGCGATCGTCAAAAAGACCTACATGCAGGATTTATCGACATCAAAGCAGTTAACAAGGTTATTGGTCAATGTCAGGTAATGTACCCCCACTGCATCATTGAAGCAAAAATTCGTAACATGTATGATGGCGTAAATAATCATTTCGAAGAGATTAATTCGTAAACTTGATATTAAAACCTGTTGTTGTTAAGCAGCCACATAGGACTCTCGAGTATCTCATTGTCAAACAAGTCCACCAAAAATTACAAATATTCTGCCAATACAAATATGCAAATGTTAAAGCTTTTTTCATCCGGCATCTTCCTGTATAGATACAAATCTAAATATTAAAACATTCAATCCGATAAATCTACTATACAACCTAATATTATTAATATCTTTTAAACTTTATGATGTTGAAAAAGTTAATATCATTTTTCGTTTTGTGTCCCTTAAATATTTGTCCACAGAGCTACAAGAATTACGGTTATTAATCTGTTAATGTTTTTGCAGTTGTTATGTTTTAAAAAAAAAATAATTTTGGGAGTTTTTTATTTTATAATTGTATTTGCTCTTATTTTTTTCGAGGTTTTTGGTCTGCTAAATTATGTTTCAAAATCTTCATCTAAGATAGAGGAAATTCGAATAAACATATACCACATATCCTTATTTTATATATATATTAAGAAAATAAAATTTACAATTACCCACATTGGCTGGATATATTGGGTTATGTATCCTAAAAAGATTAGTCTCTCTTTGTCTACATTTCCTTGTTTAAATCAAAATGTTTAATACTTTGCTAGTATTTCAGTTATCCGCACACAATCTTTCGGTCATTATAGTATTTTTTTAAAATAGATTCTTGTTTATTCCATAAAATTTCCTCATTTGCCCAGAATGCAAACTAAGGATCCCCGCTTACAATTAAACGAGCTGCCCGGGAAGCAGGAGGCTAAAAAAAGTCCATTTTGTTCTTTAAGATACAACAATTTCGGTATTTATTACCAGAAAAAATATAATAATAATAATAATAATAATAAATATACTTTTATATAACAATAAATGAAAAGAACATCTTCCTAGAATGTAATACTAAATAATATTACATTATAACATAATCAAGTGCATCTCTAAACAATGGAATACCTAATACAAATTAAAGAGACAAAAAAGGCAGACCACATAACATCGTCACTGTTCTATCCTATACGGTTTGTTATTACCATATATAATGTGTTTAATTTTTCTTTGTCTATTGTATCATTAGATAAATAGCTGGGTACAGATTTCAAATTGGTTATCATGTTATCATGATTGGTTTCCAAAGATTCAAAATATATGTAGATGATATTTTTATCCTATCATATTTAATTTTGTTTCTTATTTTCCACAGGAAATCGAAAAATAAATGTTGCGTTTGGCAATATGACATTTTGCGTTTGACAATCTCATTTTATTCAGCCTACTTTCCGTATACATAGTATTGTGAATGCATTTCCATTGGAATTCTTTTATTT